GTTCTTCAGCTCAAGGCTGAAGAAAAAAATGGTATGGGTTAGTAGTCTTAAGGATTGCAAGTTATGGTATCAATGTGGATTTAAACATCAAAATAAAAGTACATAGATTAAAAAAAATATTTAAACTAGTGATCGGATCATTATTTTATCCTGTGTGTGGGGCGGGGGGGCGGGGGGGGGGGGTCTATGCCAGGATTTGTGTGTTTGTGACTAATTTCACCTGTGGTCCACAAACATATTGATTTAAGATGTAGATTATTATACTATCAATGAGAGAGCTTAACTATCACTCTGAAAGACCTGAATTAAGATATTCAGAGACTTCTGCACAAGTGAAAACAAGGTGTGAAAGTATGTTCTGTAGCCCCACTGCTGCTCATGTGTAATTTGTCAGTGATGGAGGTTTTATCCTCCAAGATGAGCATTTACGGATTCCATCTATTAGACAGGAAATTTCCAAAAGCAGCATTAACTTGTACTTCCGTGAAACTTGTCAACAAAACAATGGAGGTAAGGTTGGTAATTTTTAGAGGTTCCCTTTGCCTTGGAAAATCCCCACTCTTCTTGTTTTGTGTTTTATTTTTTTTTTAATTTAATTTTATTGTCAACGTGATCTACAGAGGGCTTACAGTTACATATGTAAGGTAGTGTGTACATTTCTTGTTAAGCATTGTTACCTTCTCCCTCATATTTCTCCCATTCTCCCTACCCAAATTATATATTCTGTTGTATGAAACAAAAACAATAGCCCAACCATAATAATTTGGTAGTAAATAAGTAACTGATGAAAAATCATCAATATGTCTCACAGTGTTCGTGCAGAACCGTGCACTCCCCTCTCATTATTGGAGAATCCATGGGGATGATGGAAGGACCTAGACTCCATAATGCCGTCCCGCTATCCATGGAGAACTGGCTCCCACTTCCTGAAGGTCCATTCAGTGCCTACTACACAGTTATGGAACAATTACTTTAATTGACTTTTGTAGATGCAAGACTATTCTCTGTGGATTTCAACATGATCTCTGGGTCCCCAGATAGTTTCTGTGGCAGCAAGTTAAAAAAAAAAATAACCGACTATCTGCAGCATTGTTTCTAGGCATGAAAGAACACAATACTGTCTGCTCATTGGACTCAACGACTGTCCCAGTGCTACAGTTTTGAATAAGAAACTGCCTGCTTGGGTTGCCCAGCTGTAAACTTGTCCCTTCAGTGTGGAACAAGCAGGACATACTCCCTAGTTCTGTGTCAGAGAAAAATGTCAAGGAATTCATGTGTCCAAATTAGTAAGAAGCCATGAGATGCCCGGTTTATATCTGTCTCCTGGGGTGGCACAGCATCTTAATTATGGCTAAACTTTTAGGGGAGACTTTAGTGAGACTTGATGCTTGGAGAGCTGACTGGAAACCTCATCCTCAGTTTCTCTATTTTGTTTGTACAGTGTAAGTGTAACAATTGAGGCTGAATTTGTGGCAAGAATACTAGAGCAGTTTGACTGATCACTTGTGATTTAGTATTTGTGGTCTCTAGTGTTATAGCATATCACTTGGTAGTATGAAGAAATTTATTTTTGGGGCTGGGATGGTGGCTCAGTGGTAGAGCGCTTGCCTTGCATGTCTGAGGCCCTGGGTTCAATTCCTCAGCACCACATAAGCAAAAAGAAAAAAGCTGGAAGTGGTGCTGTGGCTCAAAACTAGCCTGGAGCTGAAGAGCTGAAGGACAGCGCCCAGGCCCAGAGTTCAGGCCCCATGACTGGACCCCCTCCCCCAAAAAAAGAAATTTATTTTTTCCTGTACTATTGCCTTCTGCTTTTCCTTACTATGTATTCCTTTACAGGCCAATGGCACACATAGGAGAGTGTGATCCTAAAGGAGAAGCTAAGAAGGACATGAAAATGGATACTCAGTTTTAATTACTTACAGTTTATCCACAGTTAAAATGGATAAATGTTATTCAACACTTTTAAAATACAATGTAAAACTAAATAAACTTCCTGGAGAAATCTCATTAAAAACAGTTTAATATAAACCACTATCATTTCCCTTCCATTTCCTTCTCTTCCTATCTTTCCTTCTTCCTTCCTTTCTTTAATGTGTGACTGTATAGGTTTGTGATGTCTGCATGTGTGCATGTGTAAGGTGAGGTGGAGGGAGTGTGTTGGAACTGATAATCTAATTCTGGGAGTCATGCATGTTAGACTTATAGTCTATCACAGATCTATATGAAAATAAATGTAATTTTGCAATTACACAGTTGTGCTTGAGTTTTATTGTTTTTTTTCAATTCTTAAGGAAAAGATCAGTTTATAAATTGAAATAAAATGATCCCATACATGCTGAAAATAAATTTTTAAAAATCCAAAATTGCGATGAAGGTCAAAGCACATTTTACCATACTGGATGCTGATAGTGAATGCTTTCCATGTTAAAGTAATTCATGAGTCACTCAATGCACTCTAAATAGATCTATTCACTATGCTATCATAATCTGGGAGGTGGACACTTGTGAAACCTAGCACCAGGAAGCAAACTTGGCATCAGAATGAGACTCAATCTCAACATATAAAATGCAGAACAATCTGAGTTCAGAGTGAGACCATATTTCAATATACAAAACACAAATATCACTGTAGAATTTTGGTGATTCAGAAACATATATTAATTATGCTATCATAGAAATAATGAGAAAAGGCTAGACTGAACAAAATACTTTTGCGAAAATAATCATGAATTCAAAAATTTCCATACTAATATATCCCATAATTAATACAATTGAAGTTCCTTTTTCCCAATTTAACAATCCTATGAAAATCTTTTTTTATAGAGAGGGTCTTGGCAGCAGCAAAGTAGTAATTCCACATATGGCAGTTTGCCTATATGAAGGATAAGATAGTACATGAGCTCTAGTTCTACCCTATTTGAAAACAGAAAAAGAGTGCTTCAATTAGAAATCAAGGAGCCAAATCTTGTCATCATTTCATGTCAATATTGCAGATATGGACCTAAAAGAGGAATCTGATCATTCATGGTGTTACACCTCACAGCACAACATCTGTGGTCATTGATACACATGCCTGGTGACCTTAAGTGCTTTCACGTGACAAGTGACACAGCAGCTATGCCTATCTGAATCAGCTCTCACAGGTTTGTGAGACAGGAGAGCTCTAGATCAGGAGACCTCATCGTTCTTCCCACCCTGACGTTATACCCTAGAGTTCCTCCAGGAACACTGTCTAAAACCACATTATTAACATTTCGAATATATCTTAATAGCCCATTCATAAGAGTCTTGTGACTAACATCTTTTCTGAATTTAAGGTTGCGTATTAGAATTTAATATTGAAATAGATGTCTGAATGACTGGGAAGGGGAATTTTTTATTGTAAAGATACTTTACAGAGGGGTTACAGTTACATGAGTAAGGTAATGTAATGAGTACATTTCCTATTGAGCATTGTTACCTCCTCCTTTGTTTTCCCCTACTACTCTTCCTTTCCTCCCTACCTGAACTCCTTCCCGAAGCTGTAAAGTTTGTTTTCAGCATAGTGTCTTGTACATCTTATTGTTACAATGGGTTAACCTGTAACCTTATTTCAGCATTTTGTTATTTCCCTTCCCTCCATAAATTAGAAAATGTGTATATAAGATGTAGGGCACCAGAATCAAATACAGTGAAAATAGGGGCTATACCAGGGTGAAGAACATACAAAAGAAACAAAAATTCACATGGTACATTAAAAACAACAGCAACAAAGAAAAAAAGTCTTGTGTCCCTATTTGAGGTTCATTTCACTTAGCATCATCTTATATACGGAATTGTTTTATATTCCTTACAGATTCCATTCTAGCAATGGATGAAAAGGATCAACAATAAACACTGATGGAAGAAAAGCATCACAAGTAAAAGTGGAGTTTGTCAACTACTGATATCTAATATCTGGCATTGTATAAGCTCAATGTGAGAGAAAGACTATCAGATGGCAAACAAATTCCAAAATAAACAAAAGAGCTCCTATCTTATAACAGCAAAGTAAGAATGAGTGTCTTGCTCTGTATTTCACAGGTCTTCCCCGCTGTACATTGCAATATTAGGCCAGGATCTCCCTACCCAGGACAAAATTAGAGATTAGGGGAATATCAGCTCAGAAATGAGATGTTACGTGTGTGTGTGTGTGTGTGTGTGTGTGTGAGAGAGAGAGAGAGAGAGAGAGAGAGAGAGAGAGAGAAAGTTGGGAAATTTGGTCAGTTCTTTTAAAAGATTGTGTTCCTCTATAAACTGGAAATCTAATAGCTTTCCTTCAAATTCTTTTTGGAATTTTTATAAGAGAACTTGGCAGAAGCACCACAGCTTTCTTGACACCATGAAACACTAAGCCTGGTATTGAATAGTCTACCTGATTATGGTAAAGTAGACATATAGAAGGAACCTGAGTCCTTTCTGCCATCATTATGTTGTAATAGCCCACTCCTTCCCAGCCTTCAGACTTCTAAGTGTGAGTTGGTGCTGCACTATTGTTTCTTCTGCTAGCATATAGAGATGCATCCTCTGAAACTTGTCCCAAGTAATTCTATCTTGCTGTCATAGAGATGCTCTGCATGTCAGACTGTAACAGAGCAAGCCAACCTTCCTGTAGTTGAGCAGCTAGCTGAGAAAGTCTCATTAAGGGATACCTTTTGCAGGGTGGTTTTTTCTCGTATCATGTCATTTGAGCCTGTGTGCTGTTTTACCACTAGGTGGAAGTCTAGGACCAGGTTTCTATTATTGGGTTACATACAAATAAAATAGGAGTTCAAGGGATTTTAGTGTCTTTGGGAGCTTAGGGTCATCGGTAGTCATCCAGTGCTCTGTAAGTTATTCCTATTAAGGTCACTCACCATAGTAAGTTATGTCCATCCTGGCAACTCAGTCATACTATGCTAATGTCCAGTCTAAATAACCTCCTAGTTTATGACTACTATTTTCCAATTTTCACTTCTCTTCCTATAGTCTAACTGTGAAACAGCCTCTTGTTTTTCTTAATCTTGTCTCCTTCAAGGGCAATTAACACAGAATTAGAATTAAGAAACACAGGAAGTCTGTCCACAGACCTTAAAGGATCAATAGAGCATCTCCTTATAGAGCACAATATCTGAACTAGTAAGAAAAACATTTTCTCTGTAGGGAAAATTCTTCTGCTTTGCTCTGACCTAGGACAACTGGCATTTGCTCTGCTATACCATATGGAGTTTACCAGACAAAGCCATCACCCCTGGTCAGAGCTCAGGCTGTCAGTGGGTTGTGGAGTGTTTTGGCCTGTGTCCACGAAGCCACTAAACATGTATGCTGCCCTGGGTGATAAAAGTCACTAGGAGAGGAGCTGTCCATGGTAAGTACTGGACACAAAGCTTCTTCACATTTGAGGGTAAGATCCAGTGTTTCTCCTGGGCTCCTGTTTCACTTTCTCCAGACCAATTCATGCCATTGTGTATCTTCAGAATGGTGAAGGTCTCTGTTTCAGCAGCAGGAGCACAGGGGTGGGTTTGGGAATTCATGAGTCTAAAGGGTTTGGAGTAGGAAGGATTCTGTGGAGTTGTATAACCAGCCCTGATTTTAGTATGCCAACTCAATACATCTAAATGTAATATCACATACACCAACAAACAGAATTGCATCTATGTATATTCAAAGTAGGACTACAGAATGAGCTTGAGTCTATTCTATTGTGTCTAAGTTGAAGCCCCATCCTAATAAGTTCTTCATTCTCAGCCTTATGCTTATGGCTTTAGCTATGATCAGATTTTCTTTTGATAGGTCTGACTGGGACTTGTTGGGTCACTGAATCTGTGCAGAGTTACTGTGATGATCCAGTTCTGTGCCTGTGCCCATCACTGGAGCTGTGCTAAGGCCCTGCTGATTTGCATCTGCCAAGAGCACAGCCCACTGCCTGAGCATGTCTAATAGCTGGTCTCAACCTGTGCAGGAGTCAGCCTCATTCAACACACAGTATAGCCATGGCAGCCCCTGCTCAGCTCCTGGGGTTCCTGCTGCTCTGTCTCCAAGGTAAGGAGGGCCAGCCTGGAGATCTATTCAGTCCAGTGTGATCAGTGCTGCCTAGCACTTCATGGAAGTCTTCTTGTATTATGATTAATACTATGGTGATTTTGTTTTGTGTTTCTCTACCAGGAGCCAGATGTGACATCCAGATGACCCAGTCTCCACCTTCACTGTCTGTTTCTCCAGGAGACAGAGTCACAATCACTTGCCATGCCAGTGAGAATAATTATAACAATTTACACTGGTACCAGCAGAAACCAGGGGGAGCTCGTAAGCTCCTGATCAATTATGTATCAAATTTGCAACCTGGGGTTCCATCCAGGTTCAGTAGCAGTGGGTATGGGACAGAGTTCACTCTCACCATCAGCAGCCTGCAACCTGAAGATGTTGCCACTTATTACTGTCAACAAAGTACTAGTTACCCTCCCACAGTGATACAAGTCATAGCATAAACCTCTTAGGGAAGCAGAAGTGTGAGGCTCAGCTGCCCCAGCTGCTCTTCCTGGTGACTCTTGTTGCTAAGGGTATTTCGTGGAGGAAGCCAAGTTCTGAAATTTATTGGAATGATGTTATTGATTTGTAGCAGTGGCAAGGATTAGCACCGTACTATCATTCCAGTTTATCCCACTGTTTTTCCCAGCACAGACATGTTGATGCCTCTTCTAAGAGAAAGGAAAGATATTTCCTCTGAAGAGTGTGAGTTTTGGCATCATTTACTATTAATTCAGCTAAATTGAAGGCAGGCAAGTTAATAAGCACCAACTGTTTTAATACAGAGCACTAGATTCTAAAGTTTCCATGTTGAGTGGTGGACAATGACATTAATAGAAATGAGATTATTTGGTGCATTCATAGGGCTTAGCTGTGTTAAAGTTTAGAATGTCTCATCATGTGATCCTCTGTCATGCAGAGAGAGCCAGTGGTGAGGTAATTACGTCCTCACTTGCTCTAAGCACCTTTGCAGGTAACCTGGATTTACCTTTGCTCATGTATCTGACTGCTGATTTAAATAAATTTAAATCCTTTCCTGTGCCCCTCAGTCTCATAGGAATTTCAATCAATCAACTCTTCAGGAAACCATAGGAGGGGCAATTGCTCTGGAACAAAACAAAACAAAACAGAAGGCTTCCAGAGTGATAGCACTGACAGGTAATAAATGTTCCACAGGCTAGGATAGTAACTATGGCTCAACTCTCAAATTTTTCATTTAGAGAATAACCCTAGAATATAGTTGAATGTATTTGAGCCAACATTGACTATTGATCTTTCTTTACTTCTCTTTGCATATCAGGAAATAATTGTACTTGAATACCAAAGGACTAGTTCTTTCAGGTAGCAATCTATTTGTGTGTGTGTGTGAGAGTGTGTGTGTGTGTGTGTGTTTGTGTGTGTGTGTGTGTGTGTTGAAACTAATAGTATATTTGGAAAGAATTCAGACATTGTAATCTAGCCCAATCTTCAGTCAGAACCTGACTCTCCTACTTATTATTTTTCTAATAGAAGTTGAATAAATTGGGCATATTATGGGCATATATATAGTCTTGTTGTGAGAATGAAAAGAGATAATAGACATAAAATGTCTGCCATGGTATCTAGCACATCATCAGATATATACTAATACCCTTTGTAGTTGTTTTCCTTGCATTCAAGTTCAACATTTCTAATTCCAGACAGTGTCTTTGAAAAATGATGTTCCCTCTATCCTGTATTATATATTAAGGGATTCCCATCTACATCCCCTTAGAAATTTATCTTTTAGTCAGAATCATAGGACAATTCTTTACCGAACTAAGAATATTATTTTAATAGAAGAAATTATGATATTACTCTTACTGCTTTTCATTTTTCCTCATTCTGTATTTCCATATTGGAGAATGGAGTATTCATTTTAAGGGGTTCCTTAACCAAGTGTCACAAATTTGGGGACCAGAACCAATAGAAATTTCCAATCTCTTATCTCTGGATAATGGAATTCCGAAATTAATATCTCCATTCATCTCTAATCAAGAAGTTTATGTCTTAGCAGCTGTTTTAATGATGTGCCAGGAAAAATCTCAATCATTGCTGTAGAAACAGAGACATGAAAACATTGGGTTCAATGCTTGGTATTCCAGCTTGTGGAATCTAATTTAACTGTGAAATTTGTAGTTGTGATCACACCACAAAAAAACAGGGGTTGGGATAATATGGCAAGAAAAGAAATAGAAACTCTGACAATCCCAGCTTTTAAATGAAAAGAAAGTGTAAAAGTGTACAGGTTAGGATAATTTTAAAATAATCACAAATTAATACAATTCTTTCTTAATCATTCTGTCACACTATTTGGGTGGAATTGTATTTTTTTATTTTAATTTTTTATTTTTTATTATGATAATACCATACAGAATATTTACAATTACATGGGCAAGATAATGAGTACATTTCTTATCAAGCATTGTTGCTTAGTCTGTTATTTTCCCTTCCTATCCCTTCCCATATCCAGCCCCCCACCCCCATATCCACCCTTTTTCCTCCCTTTCCCCCTCTCCCCTTTCCCCACCAAAGTTGTAAAGTTTTTCTACATAATGACCTGTATATCTCATTGTTGCAATGGGTCCACCAGTATCCCTATTTAAACAATTTGTTTTTTTTCTCTTCCCCTCCAACATCAAATACAGTGAAAGCAGGAGTTATATTGTGGGGGAGGGCCATACAAAGCAACAAAGGAATCATCTTATAAATATGTTAGAAACAATCCCATGAAAGTAAAATACATTTGAATACTTATCTTGGTGTTCATTTCACCTAACATCAACATATCTGACCTTTTCTGTTTGCCTCACACTAGTTATTACAAGTAAGGGAAACCATGGGGCCTATGTTTCTTTGGGTCTGGCTTACTTCACTTAGAAAAATTTTTTTCAAGTCTTTCCATTTCCTAACAAATGGGGCAATGTCATTCTTTCTGATGGTTGCATAGAATTCCATTGTGTATATATACCACATTTTCTTGATCCATTCATCTACTGAGGGGCATCTGGGTTGGTTCCAGATCTTAGCTATGGTAAATAATGCTGCAATAAACATAGTCATGATGGTAGCTTTAGTGTGGTCTTGTTTGTAAACATTTGGGTAAATGCCCAAAAGTGGGATTGCTGGGTCATAGGGGAGCTCTATGTGGAATCTTTTGAGAAACCTCCATACTGCTTTCCAGAGTGGTTGAAGAAGTTTAGACTCCCACCAACAATGCAGTAAGGTTCTCTTTTGTTCACATCCCCTCCAGCATCTGTTGTTATTAGAGTTCTTGATTTTAGCCATTCTAACTGGGGTGAGGTAGTATCTCAATGTTGCTTTGATTTGCATTTCTTTTATGGCTGGAAAGGTTTAGCATTTCTTCATGTGTCTATTGGCCATCCTTCTTTCCTCTTTAGAGAAGTTTCTCTTTAAGTCTTTAGCCACTTATTTATTGGGCAGTTGTTTCTTTGAGGATTTGTTGTTGGGGGAATTAATTTTTTGAGTTCCAGGTATGTTTTAGATATGAGACCCTTGTCCGTTGTATGTCTAGTGAAGATCTTCTCCCAATCCATGGGCTTTCTACTGATCTTGCTAGCTATGTCTTTTGCCATGCAGAAGCTCTGCAATTTCACGAAATACCATTTGTCCAACCTTTCTTTGAATAGCAAAAATGATCCTCAATGGAAAGAACAGTGCTGGAGGAATATCAATACCAAATTTCAAACTCTACTACAAAGCCGTAGTAATCAAAACAGCTTGGTATTGGCACAAGAACAGACCTCAGGACCACCGGAATAGAATTGAAAACCCAGAAATGAACCCCCAAATCTATAGCCATCTAATCTTTGATGAGGGAGCTAAAAAAATAGAATGGAAGAAACACAGCCTCTTCAGTAAATGGTCCTGGCAAAATTGGTTAACTAATTATAGAAAAATAAAGTTAGATCCTTCTATATCACCCTGCACCAGAATCACCTCCAAATGCATCAAAGACCTTGGAGTTAAAACAGACACTCTGAAAACATTACAGGATGGAATAGGAAAAACCCTAGGTCTCCTTGGTACAGGCCCAAATTTTCTTAATAGAGACCCAGAAACACAACAAATCAAAGAAAGGTTGGACAAATGGGATTGCAAGAAATATTTTTTTTATTTTTTTAAAAAAATTTATGGGGTTTCAACTCAGGTCCTCGGCTCTACCCCTGAGCTCTTTCACTGAGGTGGTAGTGCTCTACCACTTTGAGCCACAGTGCCACTTCTGGTTTTTCGGAGTGATTAATTGGACATAATTTTCACAGGGACTTTTCTGCCTGGTATGGCTTCTAACCAATATCCTCAGTCTCAGCTTCCTGACTAGCTATGATTTGAGGTGTGAGCTACCACGTGTCTGGCAGGTGAAATTCCTATTAAATAGTTTGACTGATCTGTAGTATTGCTATAGTATGAAAATGATATAATATTTGGTAAATTACACAAATTATTACATAGACTTTAATACTTAAGTCCTAAGGTATGACATCTCTCTGCTTTTACTCTCACTCAAAAGAAAAGCTATTATTTCTCAGCTCAAGGAAACCAGTTTTAATCTCCTTGTACTGTTCTTTATCCTTGATTAGGGTACAGGGCCATGTTTATGGACCATGTTTATCCTACAGATCCAAACCTTTGCAATGGATTTATTTGGCTCACAGATGCAGGCGGCATAGTCTTTAGAGATGTTACACCAAATACTGAAGTTATTTATGTCACTCTAGTCTCAAGAGAGAGGTCTTTTCCTCCTCTTATCTTTTCCCATACAGCTGCACCAACAAAGACATGTACAGGTTCACTATAGGTAGTAACTTTCCTCAATCTCTGAGATAAATGCTCAGCTCTAATGATTTACTAGGACTTCTGAGTTTAGATTCTAAAAATGAAGATCATGGTCTTTTAATAGTGAAGAAAATGAAAAATATTTTAGTGTTATATGTGTTCTCAGAAATCACATTTCCATATTTAGCAGTGTGCAGAAAGGATTCCTTATTGAGAAGGCTTTCAGAGTTTTAAATTCTTTCCTGGGTCAACTCTAGTAGAGTAGCATTATATAGTTCTCTTTCTGTTGCTCTGCTTGTTCCCTAATTTTGTTCTTACATTTAATTTTCCCTCTCCAATTTCTAATATGTTTCAGCTTCTTTTAATAGTAGAATATTAGAGGGTTTGATTGTGTCTGAAAAAAACAGATTTTAGTTAGTTAACATCATAAGAAAAAAATGGGAAGATCACAAGAGAAGATTTCATGATCCTCAAGGCAAATAAGATACATTACTACTGAACAACAGAATATTTCAGTCCTGTGGTCCTGATATATGTTAAGCTTACTGAGATGAGTCAGCCACATAGCTGTGTTCACCTAGCCCA